GGAAAGGGTATGTTTTAACAATAGTGTTTTATCTTTCAAAGTTTACAATGAAAAACAAAATCAAACAAGGTAGCTAAAAGTGATGTTTAATTATGTTTCCCTTTTCTCGTGTCACTTGATATAAATCTCACTTCCTATTCATCTCCACCATCACATGAATACATATCAGAAAGAGAATGTGAACTTAAGTAAAATAAACTTAAAATATATAAAAATTTGATCTGTTTTCATGTCATTGTAGATTTTTATCTCTAACAATCGTGTTGGACCCTTAATTCAAATTATTTTAAGACTATCTCTACTCACAATCTCACTCGTGAGTAGGACAGACAACTTAACAAACAAAAAAAAATAATGAACCAATGTTGGCCAACCCGTCTCATCCAAGGAACAAGGATTGAGGCTTTAATTTTTAAATGAAACTGACACATGTCATCCTCTTATCGGTTGGTTTAAATTTTTTAAAGATAAAACTTATTTGATTAAGAAAAACGACTTTAACAAAAAAATTAAAAAATATATCAAAATTCATATTTTTAGTTCCCTACAAATATAGCCCGTTATTGATGTATTTTTATCACACTAACCTTTCTCTTCATTCCAATACTCTCATTATCTTGCAAATTCCAAAATCTCCAATTATTTTTCAAAATTTTACTATGTATCCAAACTTTCATATTTTTTTAAACTTTTAACATCCTAATAGCTCTCAAAATTATACAAACACACAATATGACAACTCTGAGTTTTTCGTCTATGATAATCAAGTTCTTATTGCTGAAAATGTCCAAACCCCGTAAAAGAGTTCAAGAGCCGATAATGGGAAACTAAAGAAGATATGATGTTGATGTCATCATGGATCTACATTATTGAAGAACCTACTCGAGGCAAAAACCAAAAGAAATCGATGTTTTTGTCACGAGTGAAAGAATAGTATGATGCAACTTGAGCAGAAAATGCAGAATGACTGCGCATCAGGGATGGAAATCAAATGAAAGGTTGTTTTGTATGGCTTAATAAAAGTGCAAACAAGTAGGTTGTTGCATTAGAGAATAATATCGTCAAAAAATGAGTGAACGAGTATAAAAGATGTCGAGATAGAAGCTTATGCAATTTATGAGCTGGGTGGGAGCAAGTTCAGTGACTTGCTTGTATTTAATGAAGTTATGTGTAAACATCCTAAATTGGATTTACAGTTACAGCGTGAGACAACACGTTCTCCCCCGAAATATGAAGTGTGTAATGAATAAAGTGGCGGAAGCACAAAAAAATCAAGAACTTCCTTTGAAACAAACCAAGAAATCGCCAATTGTTGGTGGTTCAACAGTTCAACGTTGTATAGGTAGAGATGCGACAAAGAGATTAGGAAAAGGTAAGACATTTGATTTCTGACTATTCCGAAGAATTTCATGCATTGAATATTATAAGAAACAATGAAGTTGAAATCATAACCAAAAGACTTGAATATGAAAAAGAAAAAGATGACAACTGTAAACTTTACAATCACCAGAAAAATTTGTGTATACTGTTGGCGAAAGAACAACTGTCACTAGGAGAGGAAGCATTTAAAGAACATTTTTTTTGCAATGTTGTATTGATAGTGGTTTGTTTGTAATTTGATATTATCTATATCTAATTCATTATTTCATGTATCCGTTTGTAACTTGTTTTTCAGTGTTCTATTTGAAGTTTGTTTTGATGTTAAAATGAATGGTTATGATTTCTTTGAAAGTTAGCATATTGTTGTTTCTTTCACTCAGGTTCACATGTCATTATCTCCCAATTATTTATTGTTTTTGAACAAAGACTTATGCATAAAACTTTCGTCAAATACACACTAAAGTCTAAAATCTCTCTCAATGAAAACTCGTCACTAGAATCAATTGACGAATTTGATGAATGACAATCATGAGTTGTTCAACACAATTGCAATCAAGATGAGATCACTTCTCTCAGACTTCCTTTACTTCGAAACCTTAGCTTTAGCAACAACTTGATTGCATCATCGAGTATATGCCCATAAGTTCATCCAAATCTGTTCATAGGAGATCAACCTCTAAGAGCAATTAGGAGGTATCGTGATAGGTAACATGACATAGGCGAAACGTCGTTTGATGGAAGACTATTTTATCGACAACTTGACGTATGATTAAGTTATCCTCCGAAGAAGATTTCAAATATGGACACCTTTATTTGGTCGTATAGTGGATGTTGTTACTACTAATGACGAATACTGTCAAACAAAGAGTTGATGCCACGAGTAGACAAAGTCTTTCATCATTGCAAAAATGTACTGGAGCTATAAGGGTGTTGGCATATGGGGCATCAATTGATGTAGTTGACGAATATGTGAGAATGAGTGGATTCACAACAAGAGAAGTTTTCATGTACTTCGTAGATGATGTCATCTCATTTTTTAGTGACGAGTACCTTAGAAAGTCTAACAAAGTTAATTTGGCAAGACTACTTTATGTTGGTTATCAACATGGATTTGCGAGTATGATATGTAGTATTGGTTGCATGCATTAAAGATGGAAAATTGTCCACATGCATGGGCTTTGGAGTGGACTAGGGTACCTGGTGGTGTAGATAGCAATGTTCATAAGGATAACATTTCGGGGACTCTCATGGGATATTACGGAACTCATTTGCTTTTATGTGACGTCAACATATATTTTTGTTGCATATGTATTCTTCACAAAAACATCAAAAGAACTTTTATTTAAAAAGTTATTTATAGAACGAGTTTCATGTGAAATAAATGAAGATGGAAGGTTTTGATGTGGATAAATACTAAAGGGTGAAAAAAAAACTTGTGGGTTTCATGGCAATGGTGGAGAGAAAAGATTTTCAAGAATCTCTGATTTGATTTGATGATCAATTGATAATGAACCATTTTGTTCCACCATAAACCTCTTTTTAAGAAGCGGGTTTGATGTAACTTGATACACACACATACATACACACACATATATATATATATATATATATATATATTAATTTTAACATAAAACTAAGAAAATATGTAAATTCAACGATTGTTAAACTGATAGACGAAATTCTTTAGGAATTGACAATTATTAAGAACAAATTCGAGTTTTTAAACTTTAAGGACAATATGTGTTAAAAAATAACAAATATTAGAGACCAAAATTGACCTTTATGCATTAAGGGGGTGTTTGGGATTGCTTATAAAAACAACTTATTGACTTATTTCGATGTGTCACCGGTAATAAACACTTTTGAGTGTTTGGATAAACAACTTATACCGGTGCCAAATCGGTAATAAAGAGTTTTTTTGAAGAAGTTAAATCTTTCTGACTTATAATAAGTTGATAAGTGCTTTTGTAGAACATTATAAGTTGTTTCAAATAAACAATCCCAAACACCCCTAAAGATTAGTTATACAACCAAACTAAAAGATTAATTAACCTATTTATTTAATTTGATAGCGAGATTCGTTTCAATTTAAGGAAAAAACAAATCGGGCTTAGATGGTTAAAATGTAGTAATGGACCAAACCTTGAGATGTGTCTATTAATAAAACAAGGGGTCATCACTGTGCAATGAATGGAAATGCAACCCCCACAAGTTTCACCTTTTTTTAATTTGGCCCCATAACATAATAATTTACGAACATTTCTAAAAGTAAAATAAAAAATTAAAATTTAAACAAAAATTATATTAGATTTTAATTTTTTTTACCTTTCTTTCTTATTTCCTTTATTTACATTTTTTTCTAAATAATCAGTTATAACAAAAAATAGTGCATTTTTAACATATTTTTTAACTTCATTTTTGTTCTAACATATTTTCTAAAATCTTTTTTAAAATGGCAAAAAAGATTAAAAAAGAGAATGAAATTCTTCAAAATTAAAATTTTCTGCAAAAATGATTATTTATGAGGGAGGGAGAAATGATTTCCATTCATTTATCCATGAAATTACATCAATTTAAATATTTAAAAAAAGAAATAATATTTTTAATATAATTAATTGTATCATCTTCAAAAAAAAAAGAAAATGATTTTTTCTAGAAGAGTAAATTATGTTTTCCGTCTCTATGGTTTGTTAAGAATTATGGATTTCATCCCTGTGGTTTTAAAATTTCGGTTTTCATTTATATAGTTTGTAATTCATTTATATTCTAATCTCTAATGCCAAAACACTAACTTTTTAAGAATGAAAGATCAAAATAAAAATGAATTTTAAACCATAGAAATAAATAAAGGATAAAATTTAAATTATAAAGATGAAAAAGGTAAAAAATTATAAGTTATAAGGATAAAAATTGTAATTTTAAACTATAAGGATAAAAATAATTTTTTTTAATAAACTACAAGGACTAAAAATGTAACTTATTCTCCTTAAATTTTTTGATTTAAAAGAATCTCTTGGCGTCATTACATAGGAACCAGCACACGTCATCCCCCACCACATGTCGTACTATCATTCGATATTGACTACACCTTCAATCCTTCATCGTTAAGGCTTCACAATTAGTGTGTCCATTTTGCCCCTCTTGTTCCCGTGGATTGTTTATTTACCTTTTAATAATTTTATTAAGAGGTAATTTCTGAATCGTTAAGAGGTGAATTTTGTTTGGTAAAAAAAAATATGTTTTTTAATAATTTTAAAACTCTTTGAATGATTTTATATTATGTGTCTTTCTTAACCATTAAAAATCCTTATTTTATTATAAATAATTATCAAACAATTATATTTTATTTTATATTATATTATATTATAAAATAAAAGACACTTAATCATTTTGATCATTTAACGAATCTAAAAAAAAATATTGAGCAACTGCGAAATGCCAGTTCATTTAACAACTCAATGGCCTTGTCGAAATTAGACGCCATTTTCTGTCCGTGAATATACACAGGATCAGGACGCGGGGACCGTCTTCTGTAACTTGGTTTTGACGATGAACCCGAGGTTCATAGATTAAAATTTCTTTTACAATTTCTCCATCAAAATCCTAGGGTTATACTTTACTGTTCTATTTCTGCCATATGATGAATGTGTTGCCGGCAAAATATCTTCCGGTCGGCTACCGGTTCCGTCCGACTGACGAAGAACTGATCAATCACTACTTGCGGTTAAAGATCAATGGTTACATTGATGAAGTTAGTTGTATTCGAGAAGTTGACGTTTGCAAGAAAGAACCTTGGGACCTACCCGGTACGCCCTTTTATCTAAAAGACTGAAAAAAGCTCTCGTGAAATTGCTAAAATGCTGCATCTTGATCATTTGTTGCAGATTTGTCGGTGGTTGACTCGATTGATAACGAATGGTTCTTTTTTTGCCCCAAGGATCGTAAGTATCAGAACGGGCAGCGATTGAATCGGGCAACGATTGCTGGTTACTGGAAGGCTACAGGGAAAGATAGGATGATTAAGACTACCAGGGGGAATCATGTGATTGGGAGGAAGAAGACGCTTGTTTTCTATACGGGTCGGGCTCCGAAAGGGGAGAGGACTCATTGGGTGATCCATGAGTACTGTGCTACAGAAAAGGAACTCGATGGTACCCATCCTGGCCAGGTCTGTAAATTCTTTAGGTTTTAAAACATTTTCCAAATACGAAAGTTGATGTGGTTTTCAACTTTTCTTCTCTTTTCTCAGAAAATTGGTAACTTCACTACTTTCTAAAATCTACATATGTTCCCTTTTGGGAAGCAAATTGATGATGTTGGTGTTATAGATTAGTATGAAGATCCTTATGAATAATAATGTATTTTGAAAGTACTAGGTTTGATTGCAACATGTTTAGGGTTGGATTCAATGCATTGCAAGCATGGAATTCAAGAGGTAAACCACATTTGATGAACCCTAAGTCAAATCTTGTACACTTCTCAGAGATTTGTGTAGACTGTAGTAATAGTAAATTCTGAGGTAATAAAATACGTCTTTCACTATGCATCATAGGTGATTCATGATTGTTATTCATAGTCGGACACATTTGATATAAGTTTAGTTGTCAAAAATCCTACAATTTCGGTTTTGAATTGTGTGATTCAGTTTGATTTATGAAGCAAACATAGAAGCTCATCAACAAACAATAATCATGTCTTGAGTTGCTATCCCATCCATGAATTGTGCTTGTGTTGATGCCGACCCATAAAATGTGTGTTATTTTATGTATATATGCGTAACCCATAAACATAAGTGTTTTTCTATTTGCATTTGTTAAGGTCATCATGAACGACTAATATCACAACAAAATGTTGTCGGTGATGATGTAAGTATTGAAATTTGAAGCGATTTTGTTTTCTTTAGTACTCATATTTGGTTGCTTTAACAAGGTGTTCAACTTTTAATCTAAAGATCAAATTGGACTTTCTTCATGCCAAAATTACTCGCTCTTATACAACCAAGCTTTCTTACTTGCTCTGTCTTGGCTGCTTGAAGAGGGTGTTCAATATGTGGTTGTAGGGTCATGTCGAATGTTCTTTGTGAACTGCTTACAGCCCACCCCTCCTAGACCATGCTTTCGAACGGGATATACTGGGTTTGTTTGGTCTGGTTTCTGTTTGATACATGCTCTAAAGTCTTCAGTAGATATTTCTACATGACTGCTTTAGAAAGGAGCTTTATCATGTTCTCCTATGATCTTGTGGTCGATATTAAGTTCCATTATTTTCTGGTGAAGCCAGGCCTGAACAACTAGAATATGATGCAAGTTGATGCAGGATTTTTCAACAATGGTGTTGGCGAAGAGATATAAAGGAACCACATTTTTAGGGGTTCACACGATATAAATACTAGGATCTCTTGGAATTCACATCCAAAAGCTGATTCAATTGATTCAGTTCCATGCTTCCCTTTTTCCTACCTTGGTGGTGCATGTACATGTTCTCCGTGTCTTTCAGGTTCGAAACAAGATCCATTCCCCACGTAAAAAACTATTAGGGGCCTTTTAGTTTGCGGGATTGGAACTGGATTCCATTCTAATCCTGTGTTTGGTTTAGAACCGAAGGGAAGTCCGAAATGGAAATGACCCACTAACATTGGATTTAGAAATCCCATGGGGGTAGTTGGTATTTCATAGGATCTCATATAATTTATTTGTAATGACGTTATAAAAAATGTTAAAAAATTCGTTTTGTAATAATCAATTAATAGACGGTAATTTAATTATTTTTGTAATTATCTATAATTTGTTTTTATCAATTATCTATGAAGATTGAAATTCAATTCCATTCCGAATCCTACAAACTAAACACATCAATGATTCCAAATCCTTCCACGAAATCCAAATCCCTTAAAAACATGCTGTCAAACCAAACGACCCTTAGAATGATTGTTCTTGTTTTACCTACCTTGACACCAGTACATACATGCGTGACGATTATGACGGTCTGGGTTTGAGTTCTTTTTCCATGGAGGACAGGTTCACATTTTGTTGAGTAACTAGGGCTAGGGTTTTGGTGAGGGTTATGGGGACAACTCGATAGTTTGATGGTATTTCATACAACTATGGTTTCACAGTATGCTGATGACAACTAGGATGAAGTTTCAGATTCCTGGCTTTGATACCACTGATGCAGAATTGGGAGAAAATGGTAGGAGGAGCTAGGGTTTCTAAGGGTTCTCACCATAAAAAGCTTTAGGATCTTGTCGGATTCCCAGCCACGATGAAGAGTTCATGCCCAAAAGTTGATTTGCGATAACAAAGAGAACCTATGTTTCAAAAAGTCAAATAATTTAATTATCTGATCATGTTTACACCCAAAAAATTTAATTAACGTAAGAAAGAAAAAAATACGATCTTCTAAAATCATGATAGCTTATCTGGGTTCTGCATGATTGATCTGTTTCTTATTCAGTTTCTCTTTGCATGCATATTTCAAACGATAGCTTGTTCTATACACTCATAATCTTCTAATTATAATTATCGGAATAGGAAATTTGCAATGGTTCAAGATTTACTCTACTTATGTGGGGAAAACCATATTTTAGAAAAATAGGTCGCTTCACTTACAAAATCGTTTTTGCTTGTTTTGATTTGCCTTTTGCAGAGCCCTTTTGTGCTTTGTCGTTTATTCAAGAAACATGACGGGAAGGATGAGAATTTTGGGGGTACAAACTCTGTTGATGTTGATCAGAGCATTGCCTCTCCCCTATCCAATGTAAAGTCTTCCACCGAAGATCCTCCTTCAGATCCCGTGACTCCAATGTTGACTGGTCAGCCAGAGGTGCAACCTTCAAGCAACAATAGTTGGGCAATTGAAGATTCTGATAGAACAAGTGTCGACCCTCCTCATTATTTTGATTGGCATACTATGAACCATGAAAATGAGATGGTATGCGTGAAATTGCACCTCAGGATTTTAAATTTGCTATATGTGCCTTTTGTTTTCTATTCTTTTTTTTTGAAGTATATATATATATATATATATATATATATATATATATTTACTCACACACTCTTAACCTTTGTGAGGTTTGAATCCTTGACCTCCAGAGTAACCCGGGGTACTGCTCGGCCAATGACCCTTTTGTTTGTTTTGTTGACAATGAACATGTAATTAAAGTTCTTATATTCTGAGTTTTTAATTTGCAGCCAGATGTTGATCTAGATGAGGCTCTAAATGCTCTTTGTGATCCTATACCAAACGATCTGGATTCAAAGATCTTCTCGCCTCTGCATTCTCAGATGCATCTAGAGTTTGGATCTTCATACCAGGGTAACCCTACACTTTGCAACCCTAGCAACGAGCATAGTGGGTATGGAACAAATGTGAAGGATATGATGGAGTTTTTGGAGAACGTTCTAGTTGAACCAGATCATTTTCCTATTGAAGATACTGGTTATAATGAGGCTTTGGCTGCTCAAGCTTCTATGCAGGAGGATCATGTTAAAGAGACTGGATTTATCAGCGAGTCAGGGGGCGAAATGGTCCTGAAAGAGGTAATTTCATGCTCATAACGTGTATCAAAATGTTGTAATATGATATATGATTTGTAATAAGCTTACGTGGTTAATTTTTTTTTTGCTCTCTAGCCATCAGCTAGTGGTTTTTCTAGCAGAGGACCATCTGTGCAGGACTCTGGGAGGCCTCTTCACATGGCTCATGAAATGTATAGACCAGCATACGCAGGTCCTTCTGAAGTATTTGATAGAGTTTACTTACAAAGCCTAGATATCATCTCGCGCCCTCCTGCTGAAGACCAAGTGCATAATCTGGTTAAGGAAGAACAAAGTGAAAACAATTTTGGAACAGGGATCACAATAAAAAGTCGCCAAAAGCCGAAGCCTGTTGGTCTTCCAAGCCAAGGAACTGCAAACAGAAGAATTCGTTTGAACGTGAATCTACAAATATCGTCCATTAACCAGCATCCACTGCCAAATTGGAGCTCCACTGATGAAAACCATGACGAGAAATCTAGCTTGACTGAGATGGATATGGATTGTTTTCCTTCCGAAGATGCTGAAAAAGGTTCGGCTGCTCAACCTTCTATACAGGAGGATCAAGTTAAAGAGGCTGAATCTAGCGGCAATGGAAATGTGAATAGTCTGGTGAAGGAAGAAAAATTCAGCAAATCTGATGGGAAAAATGATGGTGGAACAGGGATCATAATAAGAACTCGCAAAGGCCCAGAGCTTCCTGATCTCCCAAGTCAAGGATCTGCAAGCAGAAGAATCCATTTGAGCGTGAATCGGCTAAGCTCCATTAACCAAAAGCAGCCACCTCCCAGTATGAGCTCTAGTGATGAAAACCATGAAGAAAAATCTAGTGCGACTGAAGTGGATTGCACTCGTTTCGAAGATCATGTTAAAGAAGCTGAATCTAGCTACAAATTTCCTGAAGCAAATGCCATCTTGCTTCCTCCTGCTGAAGATCAATTGAATTCTGACAGTGAAAACAATTCTGCAACTGGGATCATAATAAGAACTCGCCAAAATCAGGTTCCTGATCTCCCTAGCCAAGGAACTGCAAACAGAAGAATTCGTTTGCAGAAGAAACCAAGGTTCATTCACCAGGACCAGCTACTGAATTTGGGCACCACTGAAGAAGGTCTTGATGAGAAATCTTGCGTGACTGAGGTGCGTTTCAGTTTTTCTTTTTTCCTTTCAAAATGAGTTTTTTTCTTTTTTACATTATCTGACTGCAACTGGAATTCACAGGCAAAGGAAGGCACTGAGATTTTAACAGATGATGAGACTGTTGATCAAGATTCCAGTTCGAATGTGATTCAGGCAAAGAAACCATCTTTGTTCAGCAGATTTAAGGCAGCATTAACTTCAATCCCAGAGGTCTTGCATATGCCAAAGGTGCTGATTGTCGTGGGCTTGTGTGCAGGGGTGGTTGCATTACGAAAACACGTATCGGTATGAAGTTGTGTAGGTATGTTGCATGACTGTGAATGAGTAGGTTTTAGGGTGTCGAATAGTGGAAACTGATGACATGGAGAGGCTTGTGTTCATATCTATTATATTTTACATCAAAATCCCAGTTACTGTGGGTTTATAAGTTATGCGGTAGTAAAGTGTAGTTGTGTACCAGTTTTCTTGGTTTTTTAAAGTACGTCTTTTTTGGATTATAAATCCAATAATTCACATATGAACATCGAATTCATAGGAGATATATGGATGTACCAGATATTGGTCTCTTTGCTATATACTCCGCGTTTGTGAAACAAGTTTCCTTATTTTAAATATCTAGTTATAAGTTGAAAAATCAAATTTATTTTTAAGGTATGGTTCTTAATCTTGACTCGGTTTTTAAATCTAATGGGTTTTACTCCCTTCTATATATCCTATAAAACATTGGTGTCGATAAAATCACATTAAAGCTGGTACCATTAGCAGCTCTTCCATCATCACTTTCAAGACCATCCTCAAAACAAAACCTTTTTGAGAACATATAGAATTTTATTAGGGGCGTTCCCTTTGCAGAATGGAATTAGGTGGAATTGGAATCCGTCAAAAGAATTGGAATGAGAACTGTGATAATTACAATAATGGCATGGTTGTTGTTGGAGGCGGAGGTGGCATGGTGGTCAGCTTGGGGTTTGGGTTTGTTTGGGGTGGGATTGTGACTACGACAATAGTGATGTGGGGCATGACGGTGACAGGAGGATCATAGTTGTGGTGGATGGCAGGGGGTGGGCGGTGTTGGTTAAATTGGAATGAAATTCAATTCCTTCACTTATGCTAATGAATCCATTAATTTGTAGTTAAAAGGATTCCATCCATTTCAATATATGAACCAAAAAAAGAATTGAAATTTGATCAAATGAATCAGAAACCTTAATCTAAGAAAACAATCTCCTATTTCCTTTTTCTTTTTTATCATCTTCCCACGAATTCATAGGAGTCACCCATTTCTTTTGCTAGTTTATGAGTGGATCAGTTCCAACAATATATACATATACATGTAAGTAAAACTATATTGATATCTGAACAAAGATGTATTCAATGGGTGTTCCTACAACCACTAATTTTCTCTGATGAAGTGTAATTCTTTTATGGTCCGTAAGGATGATACTAGTTTGTTTCGTTACCACGTAATCAAAAAAGTAACCTATTGGATCCGCCTCTATATAGTGATATGTTTTGTATATTCTCACAAACATAGAACGTGTACATAAGCGATCACATGTCGAATATTGAGTCATGGTGGATGCTTGTGTTAACTCAAATGGCTATGCTACTTGGTGTTTATCTGCGTTAATCGTAATCAACCAGTTTTTTTTGTCTGATGATGAAGAAGTTGCAATTTGTATCGCAACAAATCCTGCTTTTTCAGGAATGTTCTACACATATTGAAATTGATCGTCATTTTTAAGGATGTTTGTGGTTCGGTTTGGACGGTTTAAGCCCCATAACCACAAATCAAACCGCTAAGACGATTTAGAAAACTTTACAGACCTAGTGATTCAACAGCATGTGGCCAAACGAGTCAAATCGAATCACAAAAAGGTGGTATAGTCCCGGTTTCAGCGAATTGGGTATTTTATGGCTTTAAACCTTAAAAAAACATAACATATATCTTTAAAATGAAATTTCTATCAACATAATATTATTAGAATAAAAACATTGTATTGAATTATAAAAGAAACATCTATCTCCAAAATTAAAGAAAATATTGAGCAATTTGAAAAGAAAGTAAAACAAGTCCATCAACAAAACTTGACGATTTGGAGTTTTGTATTTTGATTTTTTTATTGGTGTCAGAACTTTGCTGATTTAGGGAACACAAACAATTGAGAACTAAAAACTAAAAACTTAATGTATTGAACAAATTTTCAGTTCAAATCGCAGACTGGACCGCATCTAACAGCTTGGCTATTTTTCTGCCTAGACCTGACCATTCAAACCGCCAAAACAGTCTGGTTTGAACGTTCCGACAATTTTAACATCCCTAGTCATTTCCTTTGAGAGTTGCTTCTTCGTGGTGTGATAGTTATTGCTCATGTTCGAACAAAGTTCTAATTAGCCAATATGTTCACGAAGCCTTTGTATAATTCTACCTTTTCTTTTTTGCTATCCAAGTCGGGTGTCAGTGACCTTCCCTCTTCCCTTTTTTGGGGTGGGGGGAGTATTAGACGGTATTTATATGTTAGTCTCGAGAATTAGGATGTTTCCATGCTTGTCATGATTTTGTTACCTAAATAGTGGTGTTTAATTATGAAACTGTTTTTTGATACTATTCGTTCTTCAATAATGCATCAACTTTCCTTAGAATATGTCCAAAAAACATACAATAAATTTTATTTACTCGGAAGAAGTTAAAGTTAAGAATAAGAGCTATGAAAAATGAAAATAGTAAAGAGTTTGACCAAGTGTTTAGTTGGCATGAATAAAATGTAATCTGTTTAATGAATTGGAATCTGCCTGTTTGGTTTGCAATATAATTGGAATGAAATGATGAAAAAGAATAAAAATACCATTTCTTTGATATGTTTTTTAAATTTTTTTACAACGGTGAAGAAGCTTTATCTCTGTGCAATCTGGCCACCAGATAACCTGCAACTAATCATCCCGGAAAACAATTGTCCACCCAACACCAAGAAGAAGAAGAAGAGTTTGATTTTAATGGTGCTGATTTTAATTTGCAGGAAAATCAAATTTTGCAGCGCCGAAGAGGTGTTTTTCCGAGGTCAAATCCTGCCGTTTCGACCACGGATCCGAACCAGGACCTACCGTCAATCCAACCCGAAAATATTATCAAAAAGGAGCTTTTTACAGTTTTTTCTGTTGAAACAACAAGAAATCGGGTTGACAGATCTAAAGAACCAGAGCCAAAGAAGCCATAGAAGCATGTAGGATGAAACCCAGGAGAAGAAGACGAAGCATTTATTGTTGTTTGGTGGGTGTAAATGCTCTGCAAATACGATTGAAAGTAGAGTTTCATGTCCGATGGTCAAACCAACAACTTGGAAAGAAAAGAGATGAAATCGGAAATTTCAAAAGGAAGTAAAATTCTAATGAGGGTATTTTTATCATTTACATAATTTTGGATGAAAATTAAAATTCATCACTTTTATGAAGGAATGGTGAAATCTTCAAATGATGGAACGTTTGGAACTCAATTCCATTCCATGAGTAACCAAACGTTTAAATGAAATTTGATCAACAATTTTATCAGATCTGGTGGATTCTGACAAACCAAATGACCCCTAAATGATGATGACTTGGAAAGTTTTTTAAAAAGGGAAAGGTAAGCCTAGCCAAACCATAAATGGAACATCAAGAATAACTTAAAAAGCTAAAATAATAATGAACAAATTCTTAGAGAGTGATTTATATGAAACCAAGATTTTAGATTGATAATTGTGGCATTTGTATTTTTGTGGTTAATTTATTGTATCTTTTCTAAAATTTTATTTTGTTTCAATAGGTTTAGTATATGGTGGAAGAATTAGAAAGTTTATTAACACAATAGACTTTTCTTCGTTAATGTTAAATACACACTTATTATTTACTTAGTTGGATTCGAAGTTATTGGGTCAGTTCTTTGTTTTAGGTTTTGGAGGTGTTATAAATGGTATCAGAGTCGATCCTTGTATTATCGGGATGGCGGGACAAATCTCATCGGGTATGATGAGTCATCGAGATGGGGTGTTTGTAACATGTTAGACGAATCCCACATTGTCGATGATAAGGAGAAAGATTCTGGGTAGGTCTGACGAGTACATCAGGGATTTAAGTGAGGGAGTTTGTAACAACTCGTCCCACATGGATAGAATGTGAGAATTGTTAGCTTCTTATAAGTCTCAAGTAGTGGGATTACCACTAACTTCCACCATGGTTTTAAGTTGGATTCAAAATTATTGTGTTAGTCTGTTGCTTTGGGCATTGTGTGTGTTACAAGAATTAGAATAAATGTTTACAGTTGAAATGATACATAGTTTTAGACCTACATAATTAATATTTTTTTGTTAATCAAATGACATGTTTACCCTTGTATAATTTATCCTTTTTTATAACTCTTAAATATTTATGCATTACATAAGAGAAATTTTGAATTTTTTACTATTTTTTTTTTGAATTTCGACATTTATCTTTGAAAAGAAATATGTATGGACACTTATGTTAAAACAATAAAAATATTATATAAGTATTATTTAAACATATAAAATACCCTTTACATTTTTAAAACGCTAGAAGGGTACGCGCACAATGCAGCGAGATATATCTTCATTTTAATGTTTCGTTTTTATTTTGTGTCCTTGTTGATATAATACGGTTTATATGGTTTTGAGAAAGATAATGTTTTTATGATTTAGTGAAAGTAATTTATTTTTGGTTTAACAATAAAATTTTATAAAGATAATGATTCTGTTAGAACTCAATGATTATCCTAATTATATTTTAGATTTTTTATATTTAAATTGAGATGTTTATCCTGTATTTGATTATGTTTATCTGCAGTTAGTTATACGAATCCAAACATGAAGCTTTAATAAGTTGTACTTGCGGACAATTTACTTTAAATCTTAAAATTTTAAGTATTATGCATTAATACACAGTACTTCATGCATAATAAATAGCTTTTAAGAGTTTTTGTCAAATGCTTTATAATATAGTATAGATAATTTCATCCAACTTTGATACAAATAGATAGAGTTAAATGCATAAAATAACAACTTACTTTTATAAATTTTCTTATTATAGCATTATACTTTTGTTTTTCTTTTGTTGATCCTCTCTCTCAGTGATTTGATGATAATCCTTTTTCCCTTTCACGTTGTATTTGTGTTTATGTATTTTCAGTTCCAGCGATCATCACTAAGTATGTTCAGTGATTGCTGAAGAACTTGCATTGTAAATTTATCAGAGACAACAATACTTCAAGAAGACAACACTTACACCAAAGAACCTTCAGGAAACGTCGAAGACTAAAACTGAAGACTAGAGACTAGCGAGTACCTGATCTGAAGCGGTATTCAGTAATTACAAGCCTGACTACATATGTGTGAAGACTGCTCTAGCTTCAACGAATGATGATGAGACCTTCAGGTCATTCCAGCATTCAGCGATCAAAGGAAGCTTGCTTAGCACGATTGTTGTTGTCTTGTCCTTATGCACACAAAGGACAAACCCATACCCTTGCAAAAGTTAGTACGGTACGGAGCCGATTAGTCGACTCTTTGTCCACCAACTTTAGGCAA